AAAAAAAAAATTGGTTTGTAATTCTGCTTCTTCAAAACAGATAAGAATCAGTACGAAAGTTTACCCGCCACTCGTCACTTTTATGTATATCCAAATTTCCATCATGCTCCTTTTCACTCCCACTGTGGTTTCTCAATTGGAATTCACTGTCGTCATCCTTGTTTTCAATTTTCAAACTTTTATCGCCACTATCACTTGTTTTTTCATGACTTACGGGGTCACTCTCATAAAACTCGTCAGAAACTATTACGAAGTCTTCCAACGAAGGCTCTAAAAATTTCTACCAGATATTAAACAATAAAAAAATTATATAAATAAAGAGAAAAAAGAATTGAAATCTATAAACCAAAGCAAACTCTCTTTTAAAAAAATTCATCTTTTCTGAGAAAATAATCCCTTACCCGCTTTTATAGATATATCCTCTTTAACATTAAGTTTTGTTTCCGTTTCTGTAGTGTCTGACCTCGTCGGTGTTCCTTGCTCCGCATCGTTATCTTTAGTGTATCGCAACCGCTTCCTTAAAGACATAACACGGCTACTGCTTGGAGTTGCATCTTCCTCTTCATACCCCTCTGAGCTAAAATTTTAAACGATCCACAAGTTAAATGAAATAGTTAAACTGAACTAAAATCCGAAATATAGAAGCAGAAGATCAATACGCTTTTAAAAAATCAAGAAAAAGCATAAAACAAAAAATACCAATTGAAAACCATTCACCCTGAAAAACCTGACACTCATTACGTAAAACATCATTGAAAAAAAGTCGCTGAGAATAACGGTTACCATGAATAGCGCTTATTGGTCACTGGCGGATGGTCATGTGGAGGCAAACCCTCCGGTTCTTTAATCGTGATAACACCATTAGGACTACGAACAGCCTGTAGAATTCGCCTACAAAGACGTCCATATCGCGGCCTGTGACAACACTGATAAACTTCAACGTTAATCCCCTGTCCAGTTCTTCTTTTCCATGGAAAACGTTTCATCTGATCGTCCATCCAGGCATTAAATGCTTCAGCATTCCGAAAATGAGTCAAGGTCCGCAGCTTCCTAAAAATAGCCTATTGGCATTACTGTAAATAAATAATAACATTTTAATGCAAATTTCAAACTTTGATTTTTGGTTTAACGAGGTATCTTTTAAAAGAATGAAATCTTACCCTCCATCATTGGTGCCGTCGCTGATTTCATGTATGTGTTCATCACTGTCACTCGAGTCCATTACCTTCACTTCACCATTCTGATAAAACTCAACTTTCAGCTGCCTCTCACACTTTTTGAACCCAGCCCTTTTACGAAATGCGCAGGCGTAAATTCGTTTTGTTGTCCCCGCAGCTGGAAGAACCAAATAAAACAAATGCAACCATAAAATAAATATGAAGATGATCAGAACCAAATAGATGGAAACAAAATTTTACGAGGAACTGCAAACAGCCAAATATTTACCTGTATAAGTTGATACCATGTACCAGGGAGCTTTCTCTGTTTCCGATGCTATCCACGCCTCAAAATCATCAGCATTTTCAAAATGCGCACGAACGACATAATTTCTAAAAATAAAAGGAAAACCTTATGACGTTAATGACAAAAAGTGAAAATTGGTGGTTTTGAATATTTTAACTTACGGACTCAAGCAAGTACTTTTTTAATGTTATTACGCGGAAAATGAAGCATCTGAATTCGTTACCATTTCAAAATATCGCTATGTTATGAATAACAAAACTGAAAACGTAAATAACCGATAGTTACAAATATCAATCCCTAGTGCGAAAAAGCCAAATACCACGAGTATGTGGTGACAAAACCTTTTAGAAAGTTACAATGTCAAAAAAAAAATCATCATGACGACTAAAGCTGAAGAAAACTGTTTCTGAAACCTCATATTAAATTTGCGTTTGCCCCCTTCGGAAAGCTCCGCTCGTTCTTCCTCTTTTGACTTCATTGAATAGTCTTTTTTTGGAGGCATCCCAAGGAACGTCCCTGCAATTTTTTTGCTATAAGTTAACTATCTGAACACAATAACTCTGATGCAACTGGTAACCCGACAAAACCACAGAACGTTTAAACGTAATAGCTCATTTTGATATGCATGTAATAATGACGACATCTAGAAGAAGAATACAAAGAGCAGCTGAACGGAATCAGCTAATATGGCAACCAGTAATCAGAGCTGTTAAGTATTCATACATACTTATTTTCCCATAAACTCTTTCGATTAATCAGATACAGTTAAGCAAATAAACTGACCTATACTAATTGTTTAAAAGTGTGATCATCATTAACTGCTTGAACACTTAAAATTTCAAAATGTTTCTAGAAATAATTTTTTTTGAATGACAAAAAACTGCTACCAACCAAAAAACAGTGCCATTTCTAAGCTGTAAAAAGTTTTTTACCGATTAGTAGCATTTAACAAGCGCTAGCGAATAATAACAAAACCGGTAACGATAGTACAAAAAGTTGTATAACTATAAAAAGGTAATGAGTTCAAGAAGTTTTAAAAAAATAACTATAAAGAATCAGAAAAAAAAAATCAGAAATACTTGATTTCCGATAATACCGCCAACGGTGAATAAAACGAAACTAAGTTTTCTGCAATCACCTAAAAAAATTTCCAACACTAAAACAACGATGACTGTTGAGTATCGAGAAAATTTAAGAAAGCAGACATGCAACAATTACCAAACTTGATAAACATGCTACTTTTTTCAGCTTTTACTTTTTCTAGTTGAAAGACAGCGACAACGAAAGAAAGCGGGGAACCATATGATGAGAACATATTTTGAAATAAACAAACGAAAGAAGTTAACCCGAAAGCATATACCGAACATATAAAAAATAAAAATATTTATGTTTACACATTTTTGCTACAAAGCAGTAAGAATATATAAGAGGAAAGAAAACTGATAGGTTTTTAACTTTAATGCATTAATCAAAAAAGTTTGTGAACTGATCAAAACAATTTTAGTATTGGTTAATCGCAAAGAGAAAATTTTTAAATTGAAACTGTACTGTTAAAAAGATCGGGTTTCGTCGATGGATTGATGACAGAATCTTCCGCTCAGACCAGTCATATCCACTGCCGCCATACCACAAATAGATAAGGCTGTCCCTATTCATCGATAAGTTGTCAACCAGCAGTTCTTATCACCTCAACGGTTAGACAGCCTCGTACAGTCGCTAACAATCACGCTTGTTTTCCAACGTGACAAACGCTTCTACTAATTGAAAAAGAAAAAAGAAAACTAAACAAAGAAAATGATATTTTTAAATCGAAAAAAAAATTGCCCAAAATGATGCCAAAGCTCCCGAAAATTAGTAACACATCCACGGCCACCGCTACCACCATCAGTAGTACCAGCATCGTATCAAACGCCAACAAATTGGAATTGCTTTGAATTTAATTATCAACAAACTACCAATTAGCTACGAATTACCAATTATAAGATAATAGTAAAATCAAATATACATATATACATAAAATATTGTGCACAAAACTTTTTAATCAATCAATTTATAACGACAACAGCAAAAAACAATGACGACGACAATAATGACGAGGACCGTTCATACATCCACCAATTCAACCAATCACCCCGATAACTGCTA